TATTTTCTGGCCAAATATTCTGGAGGTTTGCCTTTCTGATCCAGGACCCTTGGGCTGGGGAGACAAAGGTGGGGCCTGGACCCCTCACTCCTGGGGGAGAACCTCCACCATTGTAATTATCCTCCCATCTGCGGGTTGTCCACCTTGGAGTGTGGGACTTGACTATATTATGTCTCTGCTTCTTCTACTTGTCCACCCGTTTTGTTGCTGCTTCTTTATATCTGTAGTTATGGAAGATTTTTCTGCTAGTCTTCTGGTCTTCCTCATCAATAGTTGCTCTGTAAATAGCTGTAATTTCAGTGTGCCTGTGGGAGGAGGTGCGCTTAGGGTCTTCCTCCTCTACCATCTTGGCCACTCCCCTGTGTGATAGTTTCTTGATGGGATCTCTGGTTCTTTTTCAAAGCCCAGCTCAAGTCTTCAAATTCTTTCATGCTGAAATATAATTCCATGTGTAAAAGAGCTCTGTAAACTATAAATCTCTGCACAACTATTAAGAGCTCACTGCTTTTCCAGATTTCCTTATTGTTTCCCAAGGAACTGTCTTCTGGTTCATAGGTCCCAAAGCATTTGGTGCATTGGCTCGTTCTACTCCAGAGATTCTCATACTGTAGAGAACATAAGAAACCCCTAAGGTGCTAGTTAAGAACGCATGTCTCCTGACTCTGCCCCTAGATATTCTCAGGTAGAGTTAAGTGAGGAGGGTTTCAGAAATATTTTAAAATTCATCTTTTTTTGGGAGGGGAACCTATCATTCCTACAGAATTGTGTATGAAATTATATGTATATAGCCTGGTAAATTTTCACAAGGTTCCTATAGCTGTTAATTCATTTTTTCTCATTGGTATACTGTATTTAATCATACATATCATCATTTACTTACCTATTCTAGTGTTGACGAACATTTGAGTTGTTGCCAGGTTTGGGCTGTTATGAATTGCTACTGCTCTGAGTATTTTAGTAGATATGTTCTGGTGAACATATGTATGTATTACTTGGGATAATAGTGGGTGGAACTGCTGAATCTTATACATGTGTATCTGTGCATATGTTTAGCTTGAGTTGATACTGTCAAACAGTTTTCCAAAGTGAAAATTATCAAAATTTATTCTCACACTTGCAGTATTCAGGAGTTCTAGTTGCTGTGTATCCTTATAAACACTTGGCTTTACCTGTTTGTTTGTTTCATTTTTGCCAATCTGTGTAGTGATGTTCCATTGTAGTTTTTTTTTTCATTTTCCTGATGAGCTTGAGAAAATTTTCATAAATTTATTGGCTGTTTGGATATTATCTTTGGTGAAATGCCTATTCAAGGCCTTTGCCCATTTTTCTAGTAGGTTACCTACCTATTTCCTAAATATTTTTAGCATTCTTTATATACTCAGGATTTGAATTCTTTGATGAACATACATATTGTCTACAGCTCCTTCTATGCCAATATACACATTACTTTTTTTGTGGGTAGTATTTTTCCATCTTGTTTAAGAAATCACTGGCTACCCCAAGTTATGCAGATACTCTTCTCTGTTTTGCTCCAAGTTTATTTGTTTTCTTTATCGGTATCTTTTTTTTAAAAAGCACCTAAATAATTCTAATGCAGACTATCCACAAATCACACTCTGAAAAACTCTGCAATTTTCCGCTCTAAACCTCACATGCCCTTTAAGAGCTGTGCATCCCGCCCTCTCCTCCAAACCAAGGTCACCATCTTGGACTTCCTTCTTCAAGGTGGGCTAATGCCAGAGGCCCTCATGGTCCTCAGGCCATTGTCTCTTTTCATGTATCCTTACAACAGGGATAAACTCACAAAGCTTGCCAGGGCTGGGTGTAAATGAGTGAGCTGGCGGTTTGGGGACTGTGATGACCAGAGAACAAATGCCCCACAGAGATGGCAGCAACCACCCAGTCCCAGATAACTGTTGCCAGATGAGCATGAAGGCCCCAGGCAATAGTTTTTCCAGTTTTCAAAGCCAAGGCAAGCATCTGGGTTATGTAAAACACCCTGATTTCTAAATGATGTAGAGCAATTCAAACTTTAAAAATTAACTCTGTGGGGAAAAAAAGAAAAAAAATGTTCGTGGGTTTTCTGTGGCCTCTGGTATACCAGTTTTCAAACTTTGTCCTAGAGGAGGGAATCAGGCTGCCACTCCAAGTGTGACCCTGGGACCAGAGCATCTCCTGGGAGCACATCTGAAATCCAGAAACTCAGGCTTTTAACTGCTGAGGCACAATCTGCATTTTATCAATAATCCCAGGTGATTCATACACTCATTAAAGTCCGAAAACTTTATGTAGACGTATGGTTCTTAATAACTGGCTCAAAGAATCATTTGGGGAACTGGAGAAAAATACCTGTATAGATGTGGCGAGGCGCTCTCCTGGGCGGGGCCTACGCAGGGTCGGACGAGGGATAGACGTTCATGGCGAAAGGGGCCGCTCTTCCTGTCTGCGGGCCCCTGGCCTCTCCTCCCCGCCCGTTGGTGGCGTGTGGGAGGCCGCGGTGCGGAGTCCAGCCGACCTCGGTCTCCCGCCCATGCCTCAAGGTGCCGGCCGGGCGGGGGTCGCCTGCCGCAGCGGGCACTCTGGCCTGGGCGTCTCGGCGCGTCTCACGGGCGCTGCGTGCCCCCCGTCGTGCGTGCGCGCGTCTCGCTCGGCGCTCCGCGGTGCGCCCGCAGCGCTCCAGGTCGTCCCCCCGGTGCCGAGGCCGAGCGGTGGCGACGTTTTCCTGTTCCTGGCGAGCCCCTCGCGTCCCCACTGCGGTGGTGCGTCCCGTGAGCAGCTCTCTTCGGGGGGGGAAGTGGGGTGAGACGGTAAGGGAGGCACGCCTGTCCGCCTGGTGGGGGGCAGGTGCCTCGTCGTGGTCGCCGTCACGGCGCGCCGGGCGGGACGGCCTTGGCCCCCCTCCCCTTCGCCGGGCTTGCACGCGGGCGTGTGAGAGACTGTGGCGGGCTGGGCGAAGAGAAGCGGGGGCTCTGTCAGACTTTTCAGACGAGCTCCCTCGTGAGGCAAACGGACGAGCCTGAGTGAGCGGAGGCTTTTCCCGGCGCTGACCGCGAACGCTCACGTTGGCGCCACTCTTATCCAGGCCGCAGCCCCCACCCCGCCCAGCCGGGAGGTGGCACCTCTTCACATGCCTCCGTGGGCCCGAAGGGTGGGGTGGGGGACGACTCGCCCTCGGTGAGAAAGCCTTCCTTCTTTAGCCATCCGAGAGGGAGCTTTGAAGTACCGGACTCCCCCAGCTTCCACTCCTCCAAAGCGTGCAGTAACCACCCCTGCCATGTAGGCAGAACCCCTCACCTTCGCCTGAGGGGTGCGCGCGCCCCGCGGTGGGGCCCAAAACCGCTCTTAAAAAAAGGAAAAAAAAATGCCTGTGACTGGGCTGCAGTACGAACGACTTAAACCAGCATTTCTGGAGATGAGGCCCAAGCACTGATATTTTCAAAAAGCAATCTGGGTGATTTGAATAGGCAGCCACGGTTGAGAAGCACTAATTTAGATTAAGCCCTCATTTATCACTGGGAACAGCGAAATCTCAAAAAATAGATGAAATATCTTGATGAACGTGACTTAACTAATGTATGGGAGACTCTGATTTGTGCTTAGACTCCTATCTCATGATTCCCAAGCCAGAGCCTTTCTGCTGCAGTTACCTTTGGTTCCTGGGGGCAGAACTACAAAATGATCCTGGTCGACTACAGCTCATTACTGCCAGCTTTCCAGCTAAGCTGTTAGCTTTCAGCACTGACCCCTAACAAGATTTACTAGATGAAGAGCTGTGAACTGATGGTCCTCTCCTTCAGCCTGTTCAAGCCAAAATCTATTTCATTCTCCCTGTTCATCACCCGCCAAAAAGTACTAACTGTTTCCACTATGAAGAAATGGAAGATCCACAGCTTGGGTCTCAAAATCCCAGTATATAGGGACAGAAGGAGGCAGACTCCTGGCAGCAATACGAGGATTTGAGTTCAGCTTTAATCAGCAGTGACTGGATGGAGTGTGATTACTTCATCCCTTATCATTTTAGGGCTGCATCAACAGAAGCACAGGTCCAGAATGCAAACCTAGTAGGTCTGCTTGACTTTGACCCATCAACATTTTACAATTGAAGAAGTTGGGTGAATTAGATGAATGACTCACAAATAGTGTTTGAGCCAAGATTCCAAACCCCTCTTTCCAGTATCAGGTAATGCTCATAATATTCTGACCCCATAGTAGAGTGCTTGAGCAGTTGCGTGTTCAAAACAACAGAGTAACCGAAAGTAATGGGTTAAGAACTTGAGTCCTCTTGTTGTATTTTGAGGATACCATGAAGGAGGCCCATATTCCATACGAATAACTTGTGAGATTCCCTTGTACTCTTTTATATCTACTTCCTTGTGCTTTATGGCTTCAGTCTTCTTTTTTCACCTCTGTGCCATCAAAATAGCCTCCTCCCTAAGCCTAGTCTGTGCCATGATCTTCTTTCCTCTCCTTTTCATTCCAGTTTTACAGCTGCAAAGACGGGAACATTTTGGAGAGCTGGGGAGGAAAGAAGTCCCACACAGGACTGGGCAGACAGAAGGGCAGTCTGGGGACAATCATACATTTCAGGGCCATTACAACCATGCCCCAGCCATCTCCCTAAAGATTCCACTGCCCCTTGCTCTGCTCCAGTACTGCTGTTATCCACCTTGCTGTAGCCAGATCTATAATGACCTTGTAGGTTCAGCATTTATCAAGCACCTTCAGTATACTAAGCCATGGGACTCAATCTGACCTATGGGGGGGAATTTTTTTTTTTAAATAAAGTGGGAACACCCAGGCTGCTGCAGGATTGAGAGCATGTGTCACTGTTCTTTGATAACATCTGAGTACTAAGTAATAATAAGGCAATGTTGATAACAATTAAAATTCTTCCAGGTCACCAGCCCTGGAGAAGAAATGGCGACTTGACAAAAACTTGCAATCCTTGCTTATAACTTTCTTATACTCTCACAAATGATCTTTCATTTGATATCCTCCAGGTAAAGAAACTCATTCCAAGGATCCAACCATATCGAGTGAGTTTATATCCTCATCTGAAAGTAAGGAAAAATGTTTCCTGCCACAGAACATGACTCCAGGTATCTAAATGCCAAAGCAACAACTGTTAAAAACATTTTCCATGTAGAATATTGAAGTAATCCCCTTATCAGTGGTGTCTGCAAACTCCCTCCCTCTGATCCTTTCTAGATGCTTCCATTAAATGCATCTTTGTAGGCATGACCTTGTCAATGATACTCACTTGCTCACAAATCTTCCAGTGCTCTGCATTGCCTATAAGATTAAGCTAAACCGTCTCAAGCTGACACTCAGAGCTCTTCGCAATCTGGCACATGTTAGGAGCTCCATACATATTTGCTATATTAAATAAAGTGTATTATCGAACAGATTTTAAGGTGCTGAAGGGCAGGAGTAATTTTTTGAATAATTAAATATTCTGCATAATACCTAAAAGAGTTGCTTGTCCATAATTGGTGCTCAGAAAATTTTTGGTAAATACATACATGAATAATTGAGTAAGTACATGGAGGTCATGCTTGTATTCTGTATACTACCTAAAATAGTACCTTATACAGAGTTGGTTAAGTAAATGAATAAGTGAATGAAGAAAGGATTGAGTAAGTGGGGGGGAAATTGGCTAGCAGAAGGGTGTCCGTCTCAATCTTTCAGGAGGAGAAGAAGATTTTGAAACCTTGTACTGGAAACTCCGAGGATAAAGCTGTAAAAGACTCAGCCGCTGTTATCCAGTACTAGGGACCATTTTTGAGGGCAAATCCCATGCCAAGAGCAAGCTAAGTCATCCCTACATCTTCTCATCTTCACACACTTACCTCTAGGAGGTGGCACCAAACTCCGCATTTCAAAGGTGGCAAACCAGAGTCTCAGAGAGGGAGGTGACCTCCGCAGTGTCACACAGTTAATACATGATGAGAAAGGGATTCGATCCCTGGTCCTTGTTTTTAACCATGTTGCCTCTTTGCCCCCTGAACTTATACGTCTATCCAGCATACAAAATAGAGATTTGTGAAAAAGATTTGCATTATGAATGTTTTAAAGCATATACACTATATAAGCAGATAGTGTATAAATGTCATGTCTTCTCAAACTTCTTGGTTGACAATGAGAAAAACCTGGCCCTTTATTTCTTGCTGTTATGTCAATCTGCTTATCTGTCTGTCAGCTTGGGCCATCCCTGCAAAAAGCTGAATCACCCACCATCTGTTGTTTCATGAACACAGTGGAGTCAGCATTTTGCCTTACTAGTGCACAAAGGCCAACAAACAAAGGGTACATGTAGGTGAAACTTAACCACCCCAGCCTGAGCTTGTCCATCCTTCAGCATTTTCTGCCATGATGCTGTTTCCAGGAAGGCCATACAGAAGGGGAGACTCAGCTCCAGCTGCCCACTTCTTTATGTGGAAGAGTCAAAGGCAGAATCAATGAGATATATTATTATGATTAAACCACCAGTTTTCAGAAGGATCAAAGAAATGACAAAATGCACTTCACACTAAAACTAGAGTGAGCTTGATTTATTCCCCTGTCCAGTGATGCAGAGAAGGCTCTGTAGGATTCCGCAGTGGGCCCCAAGGCACTTCTCTGAGTAGCAGTTCACTTATTTAAGTCCAGGTCTTTTTAGTTTCATAACCATGGATTCAACTGCATGGCAAGGAGATTCACACCGAAGGGGCTACCATTCATCAGGAGCTATTCTGAGACAGATTCTAGAGGGGAGTTTGGTTAAGGCTTTGGAAGGACAGGAGAGATGGGTTTGGTGAAAAGGAATTACAGAATCAGAATCAAGGTTAATTACAGTGTAACAAAATGAGGGCAGCTAGCAGTAACTGCTAGAGAACTGGGGTGGGATGGGGGTTTGTGAGAGGCAACAGCTAATACATAACCTGTTTATTGAACATTTAGTATGCACCTGGCACTGAACAAAAAGCTTTATGCACATAATCTCATTTAGTAAGCCTCTTAAAACCCCTGTGGGATAGTACTGTAAAAGCCATTCTGCTAATGAGAAAAGTCAAGCTTAGAGAGGTGCTCAGGGCACAGAGTTAACAAAGGCAGAGCCAAGTCTTAAGCCCAGGTCTGCGTGACTCCTCCTCCCTGGGCTTCACCTCCTCCTAGAGATCAGTGTGCAGTGAGGCTACTACCAGACGGAGGGTTGGACCTGGATTGCCGAAGATGGAGGGCTTGCATGAGATTAGAACACAGGCCAGGGAGGAACAGAGTGGCACAAACATCCACCTGAAGAAGCTCACACCAACGTCAGGTCAGTTGGGCATATTGTATGGGAGCTGGCCTACAGCCACAGCATTTCGAGGACTTCTAGGTTAAAGATAAGCCATTTAAAGATAGGAGTCCAGGCTGCCTGTGGACTCAGGCCAGTATGACAGGGGCCATCTCTAATGTGCTCAGGAATTTGCAAAGACCCTGGCAAGCTAGGGCTAGAAGACAGACCACTTGTGTTTATTCAGTGGACGTCTTCTCGGTTCATTGTGTTTGATAATTATTAACAGGGTCGCTACTTGTTGTCTAAAGAAGACATGGCAAAGTGCAATTATAAGATGAGCCTCCTCAGTGTGCCTTTCCCGACAAGGCTGTCTGCCCTCCAACAGCTCCATCACTGTCTCTTTACCCTATTACATTTTTTTATTCATAGCACTTCTCTCCATCTGAAATTACTGTGTTCGTGGGGTTGGTTGCTTGCCCAGAATACAAGCTCCATGAGAATAGGACTGTGTCTTTTTTGTTTCCTGCTATATCCCAGCACCTAAAACAACTTCTGTTCATAGTATTGGTTGAATAAATGTGCATTTTGAAGACATTAAAGGTTGACTTTAATATGTAAACTAATTACCCATACAAGCAATGAGTGCATTATCAGAAAGAAACAGGTTAGAGAAACTGTATGTGTGTATATATAATGTGTAAAGTATGTAATAATTATTACATATCAATACACTTCCATAAATTAGTATTCTTTGGAAACTTTCACAAACTATCCAGAGGAGGAAATGTATGTCCTAGCTGGTTCTGTGTGGTACTGTTCCTACAGTGCCAGGCAGCATAGGAATAAAGCCTGTACAAACAGAAAAAAACTGACCCACGTGCAGCAACTCCTGAGGTTCCAGAACATTCTGGACTTCAGCATTTTTTTTTTTCTTTCTGGAGGTAGAGTTTAAAGGAGGTGCTCAGAGAATCATTAAGATCACTTGTAATCTCTAATTAATGAGGACACCAATTTAGGGGGTTGGGTGTGAGAAACATTGGGGTTTATCTAAGTCTTTCTTCCCTATTACTGCATTTCATCCTGATCTTTCTCTCACTGTTCTCTTTAAGATCTGACGCTCTCCTTCAGTGTGAAGAGCCGCTCCAGGAGGTGTGTAAATGGTCCCTTGCAGGAAACAGCCAGGAAGAGGCTCTGGATGCTGGAGAATGAGGACCAGGAGGTGCGTGCACTGTTTAAGGTGAGCTTCGCAGAGCGGTGCAACTCCGAGTCCTCTGTGTGTCTGTCCACTACAGGCTCCCCAGAACCTAGGACAGCACTGGGAGCAAAGTAGGCCCTCAAGAAAATACCTGACTGACTGAATGAATGAAAATGTACACATTCTCTGCTCAGCAGGAATGGCTCAACCCTTGGAATCAGAGTCAGAGAAAATTTTGTTTTATATCTGCCACTATTAGTTTTATGACCTTCTGCAAGTTATTTAACCACTATAGATTAGGAATTGGTAAAACACCTACCTGATAAAGTATACTTTTTAAAAAATGTGATAAATTTGAATTTTATTTTTTATTGTGATAAAATGAACATAACAAATTTTTCCATTTTTATTATTTTAAGTGCACAGCTCAGTGATATTAAGTGCATTCACATGGTTATGCAATGATCGCCACTATCCATTCCAGAATTTTTCATCATCCCAAACTGAATCTCTGTACCCACTACACAACTCCTGCCTGTCCCCTTCCCTCGGCCACTGGTAACCACTAAGTATAATTTTTTAAGTACCAAAATTACCAGTCAAAAGTTAGTAACTATAAATATTAGAATGAGAGGAGGAAAAGGCAATAATATAAACCAATTTCTCATCTTTCATAGTAGATAGATAATATCTTCAAGAGTTAAACCAAACAGGAAGGGTATGATTAAATTATTTGCAATTTAGGAGGTGCTATTAGGAGAACTGAAGTCAGGAATGGTTAAAAGTTGCTGTAAGTACACATGGGGGAAGAAGAACATTGCTTTACACAATAAACTGGTAAGTTCCAATTATTTTTATAGTCTACATGAGTTTGATACAAATTAAGAAGAGAAATATGCCCTATAAATCTGTCATGCAGTGAAAAAAAGATAATGTCTGGTTTGTTGGGAGGAGTAAATGAGATAGCATCTGTAGAGAGCTTGGCCTTGGGCTTAGATGGTGGAATGTGCTCCAGAAATAGTAGATATATTATAAACAGCGGAGTGTTTCTGTTTTTCAGTCTTCAGAATTCAAGAACTTGAAGGCATTAGCTACTAACTGACACCATAGAGTTTCTTTTAATTTGAGTAACTTTCGTCATGGGCAGGAGCTGGGTTTGGTTGAGGGAACTGAACTGCTGAGTTTTGAGCTGGGCAGGCTTGTGGGCCAAAGCTGAGCCTGGAGTCTATTGGATCTGAGATCCAAACAGGACGTCACAGCCTCCGTGGCACACCCTGACTGTGCCCTGGCATCTTTGATTATAAAACAGGTGTAATGCCATTTTCTATTAAATCTGAGATGCTATTTGACTATAAAATACATTATTTTATGTACTTCCAAGAAAGGAAATAAATGCTTCCAATTACTTATGATGCCATGCTTTCTCCTTTTTTATTTAAGTAATGGTTAAATGTGATAAAAGTGCATAAAGTCCTATAATTACAGGGTTATTGTGAAAGTTAAATGAGGCATTGCTCATCAAGCTTTCGGCGAAGTGCCTAGCATGTAGTAAAATTCCTTGCAAGTCAGCTTTTACCGAGGACCCCTTCCCTGATTACCAGAATCTACAGATCCTCTGAGGATTTGGGGTTCCTGGGGCCTGTTGTGGGACAACCCCAGAGTTCTGACTTTGTTGAAGCAGAGCCTTTTCCTTTGGATCCTTCTGTCCTCTTCTTCTTTCCCCAGGGTCCCCTCAGAATGGAGCTCCAGGGGTCGATCTTTCATGGCAGGACCTGGCCTGGAAGGGGAGGAACGTTCAGATCATGACTTGTTATAGTCAACTCCAGAAGCTTGGACAAGTAGCAGAGAAAGATTTTAGGGGAAAACCAAGTCCAGGCATTGATTCAGGCCTGTTTTTTTCAGATATTAGAAAAGGGGGAGTTGGTGTTGCAGGTCTTCTTGCTCTGCTTGTGAGCGTGTAAACTGGTACAGCCTTTCTGGAGGGTAGTTTGGCTCCTGCATTTTAGGATTGAAAATGTGCATTTCCCAGTTATACTTCTTGGTCATACTAGTGTCAAGACAATCAAGAGTAGCTACAAAGATTTAGATATGGGATGTTTATCACGGTACCATTCAGGATATTAAAAAATTTTAAAATTCAAATGTCTAGCTATAAGAAAACATTAAGAATTATGTTAATGCAACAATGACATATTTAATGATTAAAAATGTAGATTATTTAATGACATAGGAGATGGTTCACAAAACATTGTTTAGTGACAGACAATTACAGAACAACTTTTCAGATTCCATTAATATAAAAATAGCTACGTGGAAACTCACATACAGGAAAAATATTTAAGTCAATACATGCGGTTGTCAACATTGATGATCCCTGTGGGGAGGGATTATGGATACTTTTTATTTTTGTGTGCTTTGGTTTTTCTGTTTGCCAGCTTCATAAAAATAGTTATTAAACATAGATTCACAAGTTGCTGTCTGTGATTCATCCTTCACCCTCTCACACATACTTTTTTTTTAACACGAAAGATAACATTCTCTGCACACCGTTCTACACTCTTTTTCTTGCTGCTTTTGTTTCATTTAGCCGTGTATATTTGGAGCCTGTATGATTACACAAAGAGCTTCTTTATTCTTTTTTTGTGGGTGCATAATATCATAATATTCCATTGTGTGGATAAGCCTTAATTTATTTTAACCAGTTTCCTATTGAACATTTAGGTTATTTCTTTCTTTCTTTCTTTCTTTTTTTTGTGATGTAAAAATCAATGCCAAATGGGGAGAGTGGTCAAAAGGTACAAACTTCCAATTATAAGATAAGTCAGTCCTGAAGATGTAATGGACAGCATGGTGACTGTAGTTAACAGTACTATATTGTATATTTGAAAGTTGCCAAGAGAATAGATCTTAAAAGTTCTTATCACAAGAAAAAAATTGTAATTATGTGAGATGGTGAATATTAACTAAACTTATTGTGGTGATCATTTCACAATATGTACACATGTATCATTATGTTGTACAATCAAAATTAACACAATGTTATATGCCGATTGTATCTCAATGTAAAAAAAAGTTCATACACAACAAGCTTATTCACAAGATACTTCTGTCACCCCAGGCTGACTCACTGTTCTCTTTACTCAGGACCTCTCAGCCAGGTTGGTGGGTATCCAGTCCCAGAAGGCCCAGTTCCTCATCACCTTCAAGACCATGGAGGAAATCTGGAAGTTCTCCACCTACCTGAACTTAGGTATGACATGGAGCAGGCAGGTAAAGGAGCGCCTGCTTCTCAATTCAGCCAATTTGTAAAGCTTGACATGAAGGAATTGGTCCGGCTCTGCTAATTAAAAGTGGTAGAGCCCTAACATGGATGGTTAACCTTTAGAATATCACAAACTGCGTGGAACTAAATCTAAAGCAAATATTGCTCTGATCCGTCACATGCAGCACGTCTCTGTGTTCAGGGAGAGACTATTAGATAATCAGTCAAAAGTGGCAAGCAGTTATTGATCGTCTACCAAATTCAAAGTAGAGGTAGATATGAAATTAATGGTTAAAAAAAAAAGAAAAGAAACCAGTCTCAAGTAAGATCAAAGTAGCTGCTCAAAATAGTAAATTTCCAGATCCATGTTTCATGTTTTTACAAGAGTCAAAGAAAGAGATGAGGGAATTGTCTGCTAAAAGGGCCTCAGGATGCAGGGCTTTCTAGAAGTTAAAGAAGGATATTGGGCACAGGTCCAGTACCAGTGTGGTGGGAAATGTTTCACCTACCCTCTCCACAGAGAGTAACTCCTGATAGGGAAGTTGCAATTGGAAAGCAAAACCAAGCAAAGCAAGAGGAGGTCACTTGAGTTGGCACATGTTTTACATCTCTCATAAAATGCTGGGCTCCGTGCAGACTTACACAGGAAGCGATTTAGTGTAGGGGTGGAGGGTCAAAATGGCTCTTGGCTGGAAGGTGTAAGTTCTCCTCTTGTGGCTGTGGTGACTTTCTGCTCTCCCGACCACATGTCTCCTTCTGTGACCGTGAGAGATCCTCACTATTCAAAGTGTGCTCCGTAGATCAGCCACACCAGCATCACGTGGGGCTTGTTAGAAAAGTGGACTCCTAGGCCCCGCCCTGGACCTACTGAGTTGGCGTCTGTATAAGGTCCCGTGGTGACTTGTGTGCACATCGAAGTACAAGCAGCACAATTGTGGGAGATTCACAGTCTACGTCAGTGCAACAGAGAGTCAGAACAGAGACAGTTTTTTGCATCTTAAGAAAGGAGCAAAATTTTAATACAAGTAATATACATTTATAGGCGTGTTTAAAATACTGTCCATAATTGTTACAATTTTGTAGTTTGCACAGTGTTTGATTTGGTTTTAACAAGTGAGATCTTACTGGGCAAGGAATGAAGGGGAGTGTCAGAGTGATGTTGAAGTAAATCCTGACTCCTTCATGGGCCGTGGAGAAACTCCCCAGCCACTGCATCATCAGGGGTATGAGAATTTGAACCTGAGGTCAGTAGAACTTTACAGGGGGACCAGGAACTCCCAGAGTCAACATTGTAATCTTGAAAATTCCTCCATGGATGTGTTAGAAAAAATAATTTGATTTGATAATCTCATTATACTTTTATGGAGACCCACAATATGTTGAAAACAAATTTTATTTTAAAATGACTTGTAATTCCCTGCAGATCTGAGAAGAATCAATTCATTTTAGAAATTTTCTAGTTACCCCTCTTATGCTCTTCTAATTCCACTTAAGTTGAGTCAGATTAGGGAACTTCAGGAAGGTACTTGTTCACCGTAATCCCCAGCTATTGGCAGAAGTCATGTTGTTGAAGAATATTCTTGGCTTGACCTCGTAGGCTATGTATCTGCATGTCTGGAGCATCTCCTCTTTGACCACAAGTACTGGCTCAACTGCCGACTGGTGGAGGATACAGAGATCCAAGTGTCAGTAGATGATAAACACCTGGAAGCAATATACCTGGGACTCCTCATCCAGGAAGGTGAGCATGGAGTAGAAGTGTGGATGGGGTTCTTATGTGAATATTTGTTATCAGAGTCCCTGAAATAATGGGGTTACAAAGGGAAGCAAAAGTCATTCAAACATGAAAATAGTTACAAATGAACCCACCTGTAATAGTATCACTTCAAACATCTTTTTCAGTTTAACATTAATATCACATGAACAGCCATGTTGGCCAGTCTCACTGACTATCTGATGTTAGAACTACTTGGGGATTTTTAAGAAGATGCCCAGGTCAGAGCTCCATCAGGGCCAATTAATCTCCAGAGATGGGGGCCAAGCTTTGGCATTTTTTGAAAGTTGACCAGGTAATTCTAATGTGCACCCAAGACTGAGAATCACTATTCTAAACATCTGATACAATGTGATTGTAAAATAAAATTGCAAATCTTGCAAAACCTGCAGGATTTCATGAGATTGAGGAAAGCGATACTGAGGAACTGCTTGGAGCACCCACCAGTCTGTTTACAAGGAAACATCCAATCAAGGCTGTAACCAACCAGTTAATGACCAATGACATCACAGACATTGAAAGAACCAGTTATGCGTAGATCATTTGCAAATGATTCTTTTTCCGATTGTATTGCATGAATTATGTGTGAAGGAAAAGTTTTCATACTGTGTGACTATAAAATTTAGTTGGAGAAATTGTATTCACCTTAATCAACTTAGTTTATTTGTTCTGGTCCTAAGATTAAGCATGAGGTTGCAGTTATAACCAAAGTTCTGTTAAATATATTTTCATAAATTTTTGTTTCATTACTTTTTCAAGGTGAAGTTGCAGTTAAACCATATTCTTAAGAATTATTCAGAAATTTTGGTATCTGTTTTAAGTGACTTCTCTCTCAGTGGCTTTTTCTCCTGGTATGTTTTCTTGGAATCACAGGGACCGTCTGTAGCACCTCCCCCTTGACTGTGTTTACTTTATCGTGAGGCAGAAAAGTGTTTGGGCTCTGGATGGAAATGTCCATTTTGTGACACCCCCTTTTCACTTCCTGCTACTCCTTGGAAAGAGCTTTTCTCATTATCTACAGGTCACTTCTTCTGCAGAGCCATGTGCTCGGTGGCTCAGCCAGCTGAGAAGGAAGGAGAGTACTTGACACTTTGCAGGAATGAGTTAATCTCGGTGAAGATAGCTGAAGGTGACCCTGAGTGGGAAGGTGTGTCCTTGGTCACGGGTCAGCGTGGCCTGGTGCCAGTGTCAGCCGTGGAACCTCTGCCTCTCCCTTTCCACCAGTGAGTAACCATTTACATCCTGGTAGAGGGTCGTGGAGCAGACTGAGGTCTGCACAGAACAGAGAAGGCACACTTGCAGATTTGGACACCCATGGTGCCATGGAGGCAACAAACTCTGGGAGGCTTTTTATCTTTTGTTATTTAACAGTTAAGATTTGCATAATTCAGTGAAATGGAGACAACTCAAAATTTCAGATGGAAATATACCGCCTGGTCTCCAATGCAGTGTTTCTCAGTGTGGGAACTGGGGACAATTTGTATCAGTCATCTGGGAATTTTACTGCAGGTTCACACTCCCTGGCCCTCCTCAGACTCTCTTAGGGTTGGATCCAAAAATCTTCATTTTATATCAGCTCCTCTTAAACATAAGGGGATGTTTTTCTTACTAAAGTTTAAGAATCCTTGTTGTAAGATATTGTAAACTCAAACGTACAGAGTGACAGTAAACGTGATTCCAGGCCATGGGCCCTGTGTATGGCTCTGGCAGAGAATCTGACAGTGAGAATGGAATGGGCTCTTTTGTTATTTAACTGACAAACTAATTGCTGAGCCAGAAAACATCCTAGGCCTGCTGATATGCCTGATACCAAGTAAGTTCTCAGTAAATGTTTTTCCACTATTATAATAAAGAGTAACCAAAATAACAGTAAGACTTATCATCACTGTCATTGTTATTTTAATGGACTATTCTGCTCACTGTTCCAGTTTTTTTTTAAATCTGTGTTTGCAAACCCCATGTTTCCATTGGCAGATGGTTCCTAAAGAATTATCCAGGAATCTGTGGCCTTTCCAGAAAGAAGGATTGGACAGGCTCCTATCAGATTGGTATGGCTGAGTGGAACACAGTATTTATTATTAGGGAGATAATATTGCTCTGCCTCCTACTTTTATCTGCCGATTTGGCGTCAGTTGATGTGAATTTCTGTCTCATCTCTGCTACTGACTGGATGGATGGAGTTGCCATCAGTAAACGTGGGTTTCCTTGCCTATGAAATGAGAGGTCTCAGTCAAGGTTTGTAAATATAAATGCCAAAAGGGCAAGCAGAATGCACAGATGTGTGGAGGGCCTGGATGGAAGATGTTATGAAATGGTAAGGACCGTAGGGATTTAAAGATATGCAGGTTAAAAAAAAAGCCTGGTGTGGGCCAAATGTGGCCTGCAGGCTGCCTGTTTTCAATCTCTAGTCAAAACATTTCCTGGTTTTGTGAAGTTAATCTTGAATTTAGGAAGATTAAGAATGCTTGGCACATAGTGGGTGCTCAGTAAATATTTGTTGAATAAATGAAATACATACATATATATGTATGTATAAATACATGCGTACATTTTAGGTAATCTATATGTACATGTATGAATGCACACAGACATATACACACATACACATATATCTATTATTATATATCTTTTTTGTCTTCATCCTTAGAGCTGCCTCCCCATACCTAGCACAAGTGCAATTTTAAAGTTCTAAGCGCAAATAATACTTAAAAAAAAAAGAGACAGGGAATTATGAAATCCCTATGTTAGATCTAATCCATGGTTGACCATAAACAAGATGTTTAGCAATCTGAGTCAGTATGGCCTTGTAGTCAGGAACATGGGGCTGTAAAGTGTGTTCTGGGTTCAAATTCTGGCCCCACAACTTAAAACCAGCTTGACCTCAGCCAGTTCTCATGCCCTCACTATGCCACAACTTCCTCATTATAAAATGTTACCATAAAGCCAACTTCCTGTGTTGTCATGAGAAGTAAACTAAATGACATCTGTAAATCACTTAGCACAGTTTTCTCAAGGTGTAAGTGTTTAACACATGGTAGATCCTCTTTACCCACAAAGCAGTGGGGACTTCGGATTTTGAAGATATGCTCAATAGAAACTAGACCAAAATGTCAGAAAAAATAATTCAGTAGCTTTAGGATGGGAGCTAAAGTAAATACGGAAACCGAGGCACATACAAGCCACTATCTCACAACTATAGCTGGATCAGTGGAGAGAAGGGTTACCAGCAGTGGAGAGATGAGTTCTGGACCAAGCTTTGTCACACATAACACTCCTTGGACGAATCACGTACACTCTCTGTGCCTCCACCTTCTAATCTGTCAAAAGGGGATTCTGATAGTTGCTCCAGGGAGGATCTGAGAAAATGAACATGAATGTACTTTGTAAACTGGACAGTATAGTGCTCATAAATATATCATGACTAGGTCTTAGCTAGGCAGCTCATTCAAACTGGGGACTGACCATAGTCAGGCGTCTTCCAGATCCCACTGGATCACCAACTGTCTTCTGTTCATCAGTGAAAGGAATCTAACATTTATTGAGGGTTGACTGAGGGTTTGCATTTTATCTTTTTAAAGCTTCCTGGTATTTACAAGAGACAGGTATTCTCATTATCCCCATTTTACAGTTGGGGAGACTGAGGGTCATAGTGCCAAAGGAGCTGGAAGGAATTGGAAAGATCCTACAGTGGTCCTCACTTTGTCTGTGGACTTGTGCCAACCACAACAAGTGTTTACATGATAATGGCAAGTCAGACAAAGTAGGACAATATAGTGAGCTTTCCAGTTTTCCATAAGCTAACTTTATTCTGTTTTAAGGTATATTTAGTGTTTTGAGATTATCTTTCCTACATTTGTTAAAATATCTTTTCTTTCATAAAACGATGGTAAAAGTGGATGGTAGTTCCTTTTTTGAATTTCCTAGTTTGGCCAAATGAAAAGCCAATTAACCCTATATCATTCCTGCCAATTTTTTTGTAGTGGAGTTTTTACTGGTCCTTAAAATTCTAAAATCTGGAAACCCCTCATTTTATATTACATTGGAAGCTAGTGAAAGGCTCAGCTGTTTCTGCCTTATTTAGTTGACCTGTGCACTGTTTCCCCACAGGAAGAGGAAAATGTAAGGCCTGGAAGGAATATGAGAGAGAAGAAAAGGATGAACTGAATTTCCGCCAAGGGGAAAGCATCGAGATCATCGGCTTTGTCATTCCTGGGCTTCAGTGGTTCATTGGGAAGTCAACCCTTTCAGGAGAAGTGGGCTTTGTTCCCACCAGGAACATAGATCCTGATTCTTATTCCCCAATGTGAGTATGACAGGCCCCCTGGGATGCCCTGGAGCAGGGCCACCTTCCCACGTGGTCCTGCCCCACTCTGAGCAGATTCACAGATGAGCTTCAGGTGGTTCAGGTACCAGGTCCTTGGTAACATGAACCCAGAGGAGCACATTCTGACAACGAAGGCCGACCTGAGGAGTGATAGGAAGGAGAAGACGAGTGATCAGGGAAGGAGTCAGGTCAGTTCATTTCAAAAGATGGTCATTGAGGCCTTCTTCCTCTTTGCAAGGAGAGAAGTACAGGGCCTGCTCTTAGCCTTTCCCATCCAGTCAAAGGGCCCATCAGGGAAGTGCACACACAGCTCAGTGAATGGAGAGTCCCTCCCATGCCCATGTAGGTCTGTCTGCTGAAAGCTTAGTGTGTGAAGTCAGGGTTGGCCAGGATGGTGGAGTGCATCATTTGCTCTTTCTTGCCTTGAGTCTAGAAGGGCTGGTTCTGAGGGGCAGAGCCACCATGTGGCCAGCCTGCTCCGCCCACCCTGTCACAGAGGGGCAGGTCTGGGGCACTGCCCGGTCTCCCTGGGTGGGCTTCCTGCACTGGGACGGGAAACGATCCAGGAAGTACGAGAGGGAGCACCGAGTTAGCTGCTAACCTGAGACACTGTAGCCTTCCACACAGGGAATATGTGGCCCAAGGAATGTCTAAGTCTCCAACACTCAGACTGGAACTCCTTCCTTTGTGGAAAGAGCCACTGAGGAGAGTGGACCAAAGCCAGAAGCTCCCTGCAAGGCCTGTCCTTCGAAGGATGAGGAAACAGGTCATTTTCCCTACACAGAAATGTGGGGACTCAAGTAACTCTAAACAAGGAGGATCACTCACTGAGCTCCTGGAGAGTGTGATGAGAGTTTGTAAGGAGGAAAAAGGTGTCAAGAGAGCTTTCCTGAGAAAGGTAACATGCAAGTTCAGTTTTGAACAACGTTAAGATATTTCAACAGACGTAAGTGAGGAAAGGCAGTCTCAGGCAGGAAAGTGAGGGGAATTAATGACTCCTGTCTTCGGGAGCAGGTCACCAGGAGGGCACTGGTATGCCAAAGTCTCAGTGGGGCCATGAGGTGGGAGACCGGGAATGCCTGTGCCAAGGACCTGTCCTTCACTTGGCAGGGAATGGGGAGCCACTGAGTATCTCTGAGCAAGGGTGACATGATGTGACTGGAACTTCTCTCTAGACAGCAACCCTGGCTTTGGGTGAGGTGTGCATGGTCTAGAGCACGTCGAGTGTCTATATTAGTTTACCAGTTGGGTGACTTTGGATATGTTAATATTTGTCCATATGATTGTTACTAGTTGAAATGAGCTAATACATGTAAAGCACTTGGATTGGTGCCTAGCACAGCATGTGTGTGTGCGTCTGTGTGTGTGTGTGTGATCACCATACATTAACTCTTATTATTGCTGTTACTGTTATGAGTGGTAACCTCTGAGAAGCAGTTTTAATAGAATATTGGGGACAGGTGTCAGAATTCATCAATTATATTAGAGTTCTGCACCTCATACTGTGTCTCAAAAGACAATAACCCAGTACTACTAAATTAATCTGATCACCACATTTTAGCTGGCTCAGTAGTAGGAGATACACTCACTCTGAAGAACATCATCCCCTGTATCGCAGTGGTGACATGAGACTTTCTCCTTACTTGCACAGTGGTCCCCTGTGGGACGCCATGCACCAGGGATTGCACAGTCAGTAAGGAAGAGAAAAGTGAGCAGGAGACAGGGAGGGATGGGAGAAGGAGAGGAGAGGAGGACTGGCTCATTGCACACTGTCAACGTACCCTCTAGAATATAGACATCCTGGAAATACAGCAATCAGAGGAAAACTGGACAGACAAGCTGGCACAAGCAGCAGCCAGAGTGTGGAAGTCCTGGGAATCATTCTTGTGTGCTGTGCTGGTGATTGGGCCACTGGGTGTCACTCTTAGTCTGTGTTCATTTGCTGTTAGATTTCTGAAGATGGTCCAGCATTTGCTGAAGTCTGCATCTTCTTCCCACAGCCCCTGTCCCTGTGTTAGTATATTACTTCCTGAAGTGTTTGTACGTGTATTTGTACGTATGTACGTATGTATGTATGTATGCATTCATTCATTCAACCAAATTGGCAGTGTGTTGAGAATGAAATTTCTCAGAAGCTGTTTTCTGAGTCGGATTTAGGCTGTGCCTCCGTCACATGGGAAAAGGGATCCTGCTTATCCACTGAAGCACATTTTTGTGGGTTTCCTTTTTGATAGCCCAGATTTCAACATCAGCTACCAAAGTTTCACAGCACCAGCATCTGGAAAGCCCAGGTGGTTTTTTTGTTTCTTTTTTTTTTAAATATGGAATACCCTTTCTTAAACCTGCGGCAGGCCTTCTGTTTATATAGACAAAGTGTTTACATTTGGCCAGAGTGACTGGTGAATCTCACCCTTTTGGGGGTGACAGAATGCCACACCCATCCTTTTTTTTTTTTGATATGTTTGTGTTTGTGTGTATGGGTATGTGTTTTAAGTGAAAAAGTCTTTAGATAATTGGAGATGCCTTTTTACCCCTTTATATTTTCATCCTCTGATTCCTTTCCTAGAAGCCAATACTATTTGAAGTTGATATGTATCTTTTCAGTCCTTATCCTGATACATTTAAAAAATACACATTTGTTCATAAATGAAAACACTATGGCTTTGTGTCTTAAAATTTTATTTAAATTTTTTTCTGCAACTGGGATTTTTCACAGTTGAAGTGTAAATTTAGGATTTATTCATGTACAAGATACAGTTCATTTTTATAAAGTGTTATTTAAAGGAAATTTATATACTTAAATTCCTAAATTTTAAAATAAGCAGGATTGAGCAATTAATACACTCAAAACCAGATAAAAGAACGTAGGAGAAAAGCCAATATTTCGTAGTATTAGACATTAAAAGTATTTCTATCTTGGTTATCCCCTCTTTTATTCTTCCTATTTATCTATGTCTTCTTCATAATTCTGTTTCTTTGGCATCTGTTTTTGTTGATGAGAAGTTTACTGTGAGTTTCATAGCCATTTATTTGCAGGTAGGCAGACTTATCTCACTTTTTTTTTAAGGTTTTTTCTTTGTTATTGGTCTTTTACAGTTGCACCACGGTATGTCTAGCTCTGATATATTCTATTATTTATTTATAGCAAGTTGTCCAGTTCCTTCTCCATCATGTATACCACTGAGATACGTAGGTATTTCGGTGGAGATCTGTGAGTTACAAACGTTCTCTGTTTATAGTCTTTGTCTTAAAGATACTTAAAATATATTCTTTTTTTGCATTGAAGTACAGTTGATTTACAATGTTGTTTTAGTTTCAGGTATACAACAACATGATTCAGATACATATATGTATACATATATATACTTTTTCAAATTCTTATATAGGTCATTACAAGATATTGAATATAGTTCCCTGTGCTATACAATAGAACCTTGTTTTTTATCTGTTTCATGTATAGTAGTATGTATCTGTTAATCCCAAACTCCTAATTTATCCCTCCTCCACTTTCCCCTTTGGTAACCATTCATTTGTTTTCTATGTCTGAGAGTCTCTTTCTGTTTTATAAATAAGTTCAGTTGTATCATTTTTTAAGATTCCACATATAAGTGATATATGGTATTTGTCTTTCTCTGACTTCACTTAGTGTGATAATCTCTAGGTCCATCCATATTGCTGCAAATGGCATTATTTCATTCTTTTTTTATGACTGATAATGTACTCTTGAGTGATAATTTAGTTAGGTATAGAATAACATCTTCATGGTGTGGAGGGGAAAATAACTATTAACACAAAATTTAAAATCCATTTTGCCAGAGTTTTCTCAATTTTATTAGTCTCCTCATAGAGCCAATTTTTCTTTTGTTGACCGTATTTACTATTTCTTTTCTATTTTGTGAATTTCACACTTACCTTTATAATTTTCTTGTACTTTATTTTTATTTCATTAATTGATGTTCTTTTATCCTTTGTATTTTTTCTTTGGTAAGGGGAGGTAATTAGGTTTATTTATTTATTTATTCTTGGAGAAGGTACTGGGGACTGAACCCAGGACCTCATGCATGCTGACTGTGCACTCTACCATTTGAGCTATACCTTCCTCCTTTTATCCTTTGTATTTAACTCTTTCATCCCATAAGTTGAACAGTTAAGTAACAGGTAGCTGAACCCAGAAAGAAGGATTAGGAGAAACAGAAAACCTGAAAAGACCTATAACCTTAAAGAAATGGAAATCATGTTAAAATTGTATTATTTCTATTTATTTTGCTTAGGACTTGGTATGCTTCTTCAGTTTGAAGACTCATGTCTTTCTTCACTTCTGGAAAATTCTCAGTCATTCTTCCTTTGAATATTGCCTCTCTCTCATTCTCTTTAGTCTCTCTTCTGGAATTCCTTTTAGAAGGTATGTTGGACTTGTTCTATCCTCAATCTTGCTTAATCAGTTCCTTTATATTTTTCATCTTTTTGCCGTGCTAGGCCACATTCTGGGTAATTTCCTCAGAATGGTCTTCAGTTTCACTAATGCTGCTGGGACTAAACCTGCTGTTTATCTCACTCATGTCGTCCCAAATGTCCTTGTCTGTATTTTCATTTCTGAAATTTGTATTTTCCTCTTTTACACATCTGCTTGTTTCTGCTCATAAAATCCCATATTTTCATTGTCACTTTTATTCATTTTTTTATTTCATCATTTTAACCATGCTTATAAATTAAATCTTCAGATGATTGTTATTTCTAGTGTTTGTAGTATTAATTTGTCCCCTTGTGCATCTGTTGGCTCTTTTTGTCAGTAGTTCATTTTCTTGCATGGGTTGCGTTTTTGGTGACATGAGTGAATTTTCAATAAAAGGTGGTCTCCGCATGAAGCTTGGACTGAAGAAAGTATCCCAACAGAGTAGTTTTGGCAGTTGCTTTCCCTGGACACTTAGGAACTCAGTGGTCCAGGCCTGGTTGTCTGACTGTGGTACCTGTACCATGCAGTGTAAATTCAGATTCCCATACCTTCTAATGGTGTAAACGTTAAGTGTTAAATTTTTTTCCAGGGACTCAGACAGATGGAAAACATTTCTTGGCAAATTCTGAGACGTTTCCAATCCCTTCTCTACCGAAGTTGCAGCCCTTCCAGACATTAGGCTATAGGGAGCTCAAAGCTATGTAGGGAGCTCCGTTCAGCTTTCCTGCTTCACACAGCTCCAGAATCTTATCTCCTGTCCCTGGGTGGCATTACCAGGTCAGCTACAGCTCTGAGGACCAGTGTCCCAGCTGAGAACCCCCAATGTCTCTGTACCGTCTGTTCTCACTTGCCAGCTTGGCTTTGGTTTCTCCTTTTGTTTCTGGCTCCTAGAAGTTTCCATTTCTTTCTTTCAAGTTAAAGTTACGTAATAAAATATTTATCTTGGTCACATCTTACCCACAATTTGTCTGTGTATATGGGGGAAAGTAGCCCCATGTGGAGCACTTCAACCCGCCATATTTCCAGAAGCCCAACCACACTCCTAACCCCATTTCTGTGTCGGAAAGCCCTAGTGTAATTTGCCAAGTGTTTTGGACTCTGTCTAAATATCTGGGACTCAGGATGTTAGCAAATCAGCTGTGAGTCAGTGAATACAGAGGCAGAAGACCTCAGCTTCAGTCTCAATTTCACCACTTTCTAGCTGTGTAATTCTGAGCGTGCTACTGAATCTTTCTGAATCTTTACCTGCCAATATGGATAAAAATACCTATATCATAGTGTTGTTATGAGGAGTAAATGAAATAGTAAATTAAGAAATGCTTTGTAAAATTTAAGAGTTCTCTAGAAATTTGGAATCATATTCTTTTTATCTCAAATGAATTCAGATGAAGAATTCAATAATGTGCTCTTTTGAGAATGGAAGCTTTTATGGTGCTGGGGAGAATCTGGAGGTCAGACCAGAGAAATGGGGGTTCAGTAAATGTGGTGTTAAGAGCTACAATGTCAAGACACAGCTTTAGCGCCAGTTCTGCCTCTAGTTAGTGGTGTGACCTTGAGAAGTTCGTATTAGTGGCTAGTTTTCTCATCACTGACTTTCAGACTGTGTTTATCTGAGCTATGAGGACAATGGCTAAATGGCAGACCATGACACCCCATCCCAGCCCCTCCCTCAACCCTGCTTGAACTGGAGAAGCTCCCCTTATATTCTGCTCTGCCAGTCCCTGACCACCAGCTTCATTTTTCTGTGCCTCGGTTTCTCCCTCTGTTTTAAAAAGGGGATAAGAATAGTGCCTGCATCATAGGGCAACTGCAGAGATTAAATGAGTTAATAGTGTCTGATTCATAATAAGCCTCCCCTCAGAGTATGAGCTGTTATTTTTGTTTTAAAACTGGCTTTTGAAGTTAAAAAATATTTAGAACTGAAAGAGATCTTAAATGCTGATCAGATAGAGACCAGAGCGGATACTTTCTTTCCAAGGCACTTCTAGTTTTCCTATTTGGTTCTGTGACAGATCTCTAGTAAGCAAATTACTTTTCACAATTGGTTTATACAATAGAGTGTGTATAAAAATCTCTACAATATGCGAGGAGGGTATAGCTCAGTGGTGGAGTGCATACTGAGCATGCATGTGGTCCTGGGTTCAACCCCCAGTACCTCCATTAGGAATAAATAAATACCTAATTACCTCCCCTAATCAAACCCCCTCCTCCCAAAAAGATCTCTGTTATTTATGATCATTTCTTCCAGTCCCCTGGCCCTCCTTGTACCCCTGCCCGTGCCCTAGCCTCCTGTCCCTCTCTTAATGCTACATAACACTGTTGTTCTGTATCATGGAATCCAGTGTCAACACCTGATGTGAAAGGTTCCTTCTGGCCGTAGTCACGTTTTCTCCATTGTTTCTTTAGATTTTATCACCTGTCCTGAACATTTTCTTGAAATAACCCGACAAACATCTTTTAACAGTCCTTTTCCAATCCTTATATTTAGGGCAGCCGATTTCTATTTCTCCCTTTAAAAATGGGCGCCCTGTGGTCTCAAAGAATGAGTAGGGGTGTGGGAAGGGACTTTGCTTTCCTTGGGAGAATGTGGAGTTCTAGCAGGGTGGGTGTTTTAGGTGTTTAGCAGCGGCACAGCTCGGTTCTGCAGGGATGAGGTGCTGCCAGTGCTTCGCCCTTGGCAGTGTAAATAAATCTGTTACACAGCAGTGAGATGAGGAGTCTGACTTCAGCCCTGAGCACCTGAGTTAATGGCTTCTTTGTGTCCCTTCCTGCATCCCAGGATGGAGGGAGAAGGGGTTGTGTCTGGAACCTTGCACTGATCTGTGTTCATGTCTTTTTGCCTTAATCCAGGAGCAAGAACTCTGCCTTTTTCAGTGAGGAGGAAAGATGCTCTCTGGGGGTCCTGGGAAGTGACAGGAAAGCTGAGTGTGCCGACTTCCTTCACACGCTTGCTCAGACTGACATAACATCTGTCTACCGGCTGAGTAAGTGTTTGCTCCTCAAACCCCGTGAAAACCCAAGCTCCTCAAGATTAGGGGAGTGTTCCTAACAGGAGTGGAATAGCTCTGAAGTCCAATCCCATATGAATGTGGAGCTGTGACCACTATCAGTTGATGACCTGGGTCATACTCGATTAGCAGCATTTTCACTTCAGATTTCAGACGATTCTGGGATTGTGTGGGACTGGCGGCCTAGGACGTGTGAGATGTGATGAAATCAACTCAGTCATAGTGGGGGAGGTTGGCCATATGAGCCTCCCATTCTAATCCTGCTAAGAAAGCTTCCTGAATTGTGGCTGAAGGTCTTCCTTTAGGACTGAAGTAGGTCTAGCTCCCCAGTGATAAAGGTGGGGCCATAGACCATTGCAGCTGGAAACACACTAAGGGATGTTTTCTCCTCTCATTTTACAGATTAGGAGACTGAGGCCCAAGTGAATTAGTGCCTGGGCCAGGATAAAAACTGCCCTACCCTATTTTCTAGTCAAGACAATCCTTGCTTCACCTCACTGCCCCAGACAAACAAAATGACATTGGACTGTTGGGTGTGTTAGCCTGGGGGAGTGAGGGGCCTCAGTGCCTTGCACAGTTTTCAGCAGTGTCTGAATGACTGACTGAGTGAATTAATGACACTCCTTTCCCTTACTTTGGGAGGGGCCCGCCGCTCTGTGTCCGAAAGTGCATTCACCCACTGACAGTGGTTTGAGGAAGAATTCTTATTTCTCCCATCTCTTCAGTGGTGGTAGTAATGTGTTCACTCCTGTGTGGCCAGATTAGATGGGGAACATTTCATGGGACAGCCAGAGATTCTGCAGAAGGAACTCAGCTCCCAGGAGCAGAGGTGGAAGTTGGAGTCTTTCTCCATTCATAGAAACACTTGTGAGGAGCATCGCTCCCAGGCATCAGCACCAGCCCTGGCAGCACTTTTTTGCCATAAGCAGATAACACTATCCCACCAGACTGAGCCAGGAAGCTGAAGCGATGACCACAGCCTGGTAGGCTACAGCCCAGGTCTGAAAAATCAAAGACTACTTGGGGTTTGCCTTGAAAGCAGGGGCGGTTGCAGACTTGGATCCAAGGTGTTTGCCAACTGTTGATCTGATGGTTAGAAGAGATCCAGGAGCAGGTCTCAGGCACTGCTCTTATCTACAGACCAGGAGTGCAGGGCTATGCCTTATGGCTGTACAGGCCGTCCCTGGCACCAAGGCAACCAGCAGTATTGTTAAATCCCAGCTCCCCCAAGGCCTGTGCCCTGGGGAAGAGTGCCTGTCTGTAATTTTTCCTCCCAGAGGAAGTATTTTTTTGGTAACTCATGTGCCATTTGTGCTCTCAGTGGTCCTGGCCTGGAGAGAAATGGCTGCAGTAAGACTGGCATGTGTCCCTCATTGATGGCAACGGAAAGGTGCATGAACTGCTCTCCAGAGCCCAGCTCTACAGTTCTGCTGTGTTTGGCTGTAGGACCTTTGGGGGTTGCAGATCTCAAGTATCTGTAATTACACTCACAAAAGAAGCCTCCCCCAGAGAAGAGCAGGTGGAGGCTTTACTTGGGGAAAACCCTGCTACGCTCAAAGTTCACTGGAGAGCTCAGAGTAGGGACACAGGTATCTGGCTATGGCTTCTTTGCCAGGAAGAGGTAGAATCTTCTCTCTAGCAGCCAGTGTCCTATGGAGCATGAATCTGGCCTTCACCTCCACAAGCTCCACTGTGGCTGCGTTAGCCAAGGGGGGTCAGCTTCTTTGCTGCCAGACCCAAGATCTTCTTGGTTCTCACCTCATCTTATTTCAATTTTGTGATATTAGGTCGTGGCACCACAAGGCACTTTGGTCTCCGTGACTCCTGTTTCCTTCCTGACTGTGCCTTTTCAGTCTCCTTCCCTGGCTGCCATCTGCCAGTAAATGCTGAAGTTTCTCCAGCTCATTCACAAATCCCCCTCCCCAGACCTCCCCATCCTGCTTTGCTTTTCCCTCCAAATGCTTCTCCTGGGACTTTGACCCACTCCTTATGACCTGCTGTTGGTCACAAATCTATATTTGCAAGATTCAACTCTTCTTGGCTACAGATCTACTTCATTCTGTGCTAGAACTCCTGTCAGCACTGCAAACTCAAAATGTCTAAACTACTCGACTCCCTCCTTCCACCTCATCCCACCAAGGTACTTCAAGGAACAGAACTTAGGAACCGCACATGCTTCTTTACTTTCTTTTCTTCATTATTCACATTTGGTTACCTGCCTAGTCAAATTTACAAAGCACTTTGTACACAAGAAATCAGTGTCTGTTGAGTGGATGGATGATGAAAGAATGGAGGAAGGAAGAAGGAGAGCTGTACACATGGAAATGAGAGGCAGTGCCACGTGCCACAAAGTGCACTGCCCTTGAGTTCTGTTCACAGCTGTCGTGAACTCACTGAGAGATTTGGGCCTTCAGGTTCCATCATCTCCCCATACCCACACCTCTTGGCATAAAGCTCGTGTTTCCAGGTTTTCTTCTCTGACTCTGTTCTCATTTCTATTTCAATTCCCAGCTGTAAAGTGAGTGGGTTAAACGAGACAATCTTCAGGTAACTGCAGCCCTGATGATGAAGGGGGAGAAATCCAGTTTTTTAGGGATAGCAGGTGGTCTGAAACTTAAACACAGAGTCTCCTAAGGGGCCAGTGGGCGGGGTACACCTGCAGGTGTAGGCACGCTGGCCCATTCTGACCTAACACAGGTCTGTCCTCCATCTCTATCCAGGTGGGTTTGAATCCATCCAGAATCTTCCAAACGATCTGAGTGGTGAGTAGAGATCATGCTAAACCTGACCTCCAGTCCTGCTGGACAGCATCCTGTCCTCTTGCCAAGACCTGGCCACTGCAGTTGCAGGTACTTAGGGTTGCTCAACTCTGCCTGTCCCTTTCAGCATCCCAGCCCGAAGTCTTCAAGGACACTCAGCCTGGTGGAGCCTGGGAGGAGCATCAGGCAGTAGGCTCCAGACAGTCCAGCAGCTCCGAGGACTCCAGCTTGGAGGAGGAGCTCCTTTCAGCTGCCTCAGACACCTACCACCTGCCAGAGCCTGATGACCTCGATGACCCAGAACTGCTCATGGACCTGAACACCGGTCAGGAGGAGGAGGAGGCTGAGAACTTCGCCCCCATATTGGCCTTTCTGGATCACAAGGGTTATGCTGACCATTTTAAGAGCCTCTATGATTTTTCCTTCTCTTTCCTCACGTCTTCCTTTTACAGCTACTCTGAGGAGGATGAGCTCGTGGCCTACCTGGAGGCCTCGAGGAAGTGGGCCAAGCGGAGCCACATGACCTGGGCCCACGCCCGGCTCTGCTTCCTCCTGGGCCGTCTGAGTGTCAGGAAGGTCAAACTCTCTCAGGCCAGGGTGTACTTTGAGGAGGCCATCCACATTCTCAACGGGGCATTTGAGGACCTATCCTTGGCAGCTGCTCTGTACATCAATTTGGCGGCCATCTATCTGAGGCAGAGGCTGAGGCATAAAGGCTCGGCCCTGCTGGAAAAGGCAGGTGTCCTGTTGGCCTGCCTGCCTGATCGTGAGTCTAGTGCCAAGAGCGAGCTGGACGTGGTGGCCTATGTGCTGAGACAGGGCATCGTGTCGGGCAGTTGCCCCCTGGAGGCCAGGGCTTGCTTCCTGGCCACCCGATTGCTCCTAAGCCTTGGCCGGCATGATGAGGTCCTGCCCTTCGCCGAGCGCCTGCAGCTCCTCTCCGGACACGCCCCTGCCTCTGATGCTGCCGCCACCATCTTGAGCTTTCTCTATGACAAGAAATATCTGCCACACCTTGCAGTGGCCTCTGTCCGGCAACGTGGTACTCAGAGCACCCAAGGGATGGCCCTTCCAATTTGGCAGGTCCACCTGGTCCTCCAGAATGCCTCCAAGCTCCTTAGCATCCCCTCCCCAAGCTGGGGTGAAGTTTCTGCCCTGGCCTGCCCGGCACTCAGGCAGGCGCTAGCTGCCTGTGAGGAACAGGCGGACTGGAGCACCCAGAGGGCCCTGTGTCTCATCCTGTCCAAAGTGTACCTCCAGCACAGGTCTCCTGACGGTGCCATCCACTACCTGAGCCAAGCCTTGGTGCTGGGCCAGCTGCTGAGTGAACAGGAAGCTTTTGAGTCTTCTCTCTGCCTGGCATGGGCCTATCTCTTAGCCAGCCAGGCAAAGAAGGCTTTGGACGTCCTCGAGCCACTCTTATACTCCCTGAAGGAAAAAGAGAGTGTTACCCAAAAGGGAGTGGTCCATAACCTCCTGGGACTTGCACTTCAAGGTGAAGGCCGGGTGAATAAGGCAGCCAAGAGTTACCTCCAGGCCTTGAACAGAGCCCAGGAGGCGGGGGATGTGCGTAACCAAGCAGTGACTTTGGCCAATCTTGGCCACCTGACCCTTAAGTCCTGGACTCAGCAGCCGGCCAGGGACTATCTTCTGCAGGCTGTGCAACTCTATTCTAAACTCCAGGCCAGCATGGAGACAGATATGGAGTTAGTACAGGTGCTTCTCTGGTTGGCCCAAGTCCAGGTATATGGACGCCACCTGACCAGTGGCCGCTTTTGTTATGAAATGGCATTGCTGTTTGGCTTAAGGCATCGACACCTAAAGAGTGAGTATGTCCCGTGCTGCTGAGACGCTTTAAAGCTGAGTGTTAGAGCACGTTTTGCCTTTGTCCTACCTCCAGTCATCTCATCCATGTCCCTGCTTTATGTTCAGGTCAGCTTCAGGTCACCAAATCCCTCTGCCATTTCTACAGCTCTGTGTCCCCAAACCCCGAGGCATGCATTACGTACCACGAGCACTGGCTGACCCTCGCTCAGCAACTCAGGGACCGGGAGATGGAGGGGAGGCTGCTGGAGTCCCTCGGGCAGCTGTATCGGAACCTAAACACTGCCAGGTGAGTCCAGGCTCAGGGCCGGTCCTGGAAACATCTTTTCTTCCTTAAATTGTTTTCCTCAGGAAGTCAAACCCAAATGCACACGGTATGTTTATGGCATCGTGGAAAAGGACACGCGCTTTGCAGCCATCACACAGGATGCAAACACAGTGCCACCCGTCCCTTGTTAGCTGTGGGACTTTGGGCAAGTGTTTATATTTCTCTGTGCCTCGGATTCCTCACCAGTGAATGCACATGGGACACTTGGAACAGTGCCTAACAGGCGGGAAGGGCTCAGTCATATTGGCGATGTTACAGTCACCTGTGTGTTTCCTTAACAGCCCCATATGTGACCACAGCTGACAGTGCATAAATAGAGAGGTGGCAGTTATGCTGAGAACCATAGATCCCTCAGGTCTTCCTTATCTGAGGGCCATTGGTGGTAGAGAAGGACACAAAGTAAATAAGTCCATGGAAATCAGGGGTGTAAAATTTTACAGTAAATTTTGATTGGAACCTTACCTTTAAAATGAAGTTGGAAATGATGAAACTAAGTTTATTTTCACATTTTAGTTAAGAAGCCTAGGTTATAATTGCAACTATGCGCTGAGTTTTAGAATTCACATACAACTAAAGAAATGTTGGCTTTTAGCTTAATTGTGTTGGCAGAATTGTGTAACAGCACAGTTAAACATTCTTTGTTTTGTGATTGACTTTTTGGCACCCTCTTAGAAAGACTCAATTTTGTAAAAAATATACCAGAACTTGGCTGTATTACCCAAAGGCTTCTTTTCACTCTTTAATATTTAACTTTTTCTCTGGTGAACCATCCTGCCATCTCTTGCTGATTTTCCCTTTTCTATCACTGGTCAAATCTGCCTGATCCTCCTTTGCTGGTGGCATGGCCTTCCGTTCTACTCTCAGACAAGCTTTTAATTGATTCCATTAAATTCTGCCTGGTTTGCAAGATATTTAGTTTCACTTTGCAACAGATTAGCATTGCAGCATTGTATTCATAATTATGAATGACTTCTAACAGAGCAGGCATAATCACTAGTGTTGAGCAGAGAGGCAATTGTGGAGAAGCTGTTTGAATGACAATTTTTGCTGTTCTAAACAACTAGTAACCTTGGGCACCTGATAAATCAGACCACAGATAATCAGATAATGAAATCTTTGTCTTTTTCTTTTTTCTGTCCTCCACTTTATCTCTCTATCCTTCACATCTTCCATCTCTTACAAGAATCAGGTGTCTTCCAAACCTCCCGTTGCCTTTAGTCCCAAGAAGGGAGTTTTGGATCCTTGTAGCCTGTGAGGTAACAGGAGGCCTGGCCCTGGCCCCACCCTACTTCCATTTAGGACCCCCTAGGAGTTTGGATGGTTCTGGAGCTGATCCAGAAGGCAGGCTTGAATTAACCTTAGAGATGAGATAGTCGTATATTCGTGGTGAGGCATTGTGGGAATGCGCTTTGGGATAGTTGGCTTTTAAGGGACTGAAGCATGAGTGGCAAGTATGTGTCAGGTTTATTGCCACCCCTCCCTCTGTGCAAGCTCAGTCTTGGATTAATCACTGTTCCCAGTGATTAATCACCTACCCCATTGCCATCCTTTGCGCACAGCCTCCCTCTCACCTCCAGTCATCAAAAACCACTGAAATTCTAAGGGGGTGGGGGAGCCAGAGAGCAAGCCCTGGATGCTGTCAACACAGAGTGCAGAGGCCTTACCAAAGGCAGTGTGGACGATTGCTGGATTTCTTTGGTAATGGGGGCAGAAGAGAGCGGCGAAGGAGTGGGGCTGCAGTTGGTCCAAGAAGTGGCTGGAGGAAGTCGGAAGCCACGGAGCTGGGAGAGGAGTGGCCAAAACTGGATTAGGAACAGGAAACCTGGGCCTGCCATGAGCTAGTGACCTGTCCTTAAACAAGTCAGTTCTCCTTTTGGTTACTCCATTTATAAGGTTAAACTGAATGAGGTGCCTTCCAGTTTTAAATGTTGAATCTAGGACCAGCCAGCTATGCTATGTTGATGCTGGCAGTAGCCCTATTAGTACCAGAATTCCTGCAGCTTCCAAAGAATCTTGAATTTGAGGGGCATATTCTTAAAGTTGTGGGCCTTCTAAAGGGCCTTTTAGATCAGAGACCTAAGCTTTTGGGGCTTTGAAAGACTCTGCAGTAGCTTCAGAAGGTCTTGATATAATGACTGTAAATTTGATGTGGGCAGATGGTGTGTCTAGCACAGAACTTGGCATAGAGGACACATACACCACGTATTTGTGTGGTCAGCCAAGTAGTTAGTTAATTAGTTATTTTGTCCACTAGCTCACAGCCCTGAGCTGCAGCTGATTTGGCTGTCTGAGAGGAGATTAAAACAGAGAATGAGGAAGTTTGCCCTTGGTTTCTTGCTCAGGGTTCAGGTAAGGGGAAAAAGGTGCTTGCAACTTGAAGGCAGGCTTTCTGATCTTCAGTGACAGTTACAGTTGTCAGACTACTGTTACTGGAACCTCAGATGCCCTTACCAGCAGCCTGTTTAGAACCTGCCTACAGAATATTAGCTACAGAACACAGTGGGTCTATTCTTGGAGAGTTTGCACTCACAAGGAACTAGATACCAGATACTGAATTAAAATATTGGAGATTTCTACCCAAATCAAAAATAAGTTTTTTTTTCCTAAAGTTGTTTAAAATTCTATCATGTTTACTTATGGTAAAAAAAAAATATTAAACCAGTATTGAAGGTTATAGCTGAAAAGTAAAGATCCCCTCCCAACTTGCCTTTCCCTAAGCCTCTTCGGAAGTAACTACTTACAGATTTTTAAATATCCATCAAGAATATTCCATACGTATGAAAGATTATATATGATATATATTCTCCATATTAAATATACATTAGGTATAAATAATATGCACTTTTTAGTTAAATGGGATCTGATAAAATTTGTTACATGATACATTCTGCTGTTATTTGTTTTTTTCATTTAAAAATGTCACTATGAAATGATTCAAAATTTCATCCTACTATATGAATCCTTTTGATGTATTGGGTACTGTGATGGGTAGTGAGGAATTCAATGGTTAGATGGTTAGGAGAACAATTTTCAAAAGAACTGTCCGATAACAGAGCAGTCTACCCTATATGAGAGTGAGTGTGTCAAAATTACAAGTATTCAAGCACAGGCTGGCTACTCAGGAATCTTACAGAAGAATGTCCTGAAATGAGCTCTTTATAGCAGTTTATTGAGATACAATCATATTAACATAAATTGAGTCTTGTAAGTATACAATTCAGTGATTTTTAGCATATTCACCGAGTTTCGTAACCATCACCACTGTCTAATTTTGGAATATTTTCATAACTCCCAAAAGAAACCCTATACCCATCAGTAGTCAGTCCTCATTAATCAACCCCCACCTAGCCCTGCAACCACTATAATCTACTTTCTGTCTCTATGGATTTGCCTGTTCTGAACGTTTCATGTAAATGGAATCATACAAGATACGGCCCTTTGGGACTGGCTTCTTTGACTTAGGGTAATGTTTTCAAAGTTTATCCATGGTGTCATATATATCAGTACTTCATTCCTTTTCTTCTGAGTGATAATCTACTGAAGGATGTGTCACATTTATTTATCTAGTCGTAAGTTTATAAACACGAATTGTTTCCACTTTGTGGCTATTATGACTAATGCTGCTGTGAACATTTGTGAATAAGTTTTTGTTTGAATATATTTTTCCGACTCTTTGAGTATGTGCCTAGGAGTGGAATTTCAGGGTCATATCGTCTCTCTATATATAAACTGCTATATATAAACTGGGGAACTGCTAAAGTAGGTGCACAATTCTACATTCCCCTTAGCAATATTTGAGGGTTCTAATGTTTCTCACGTTCTCACCAACACTTGTTATTGTCCATCTGTTTATTTTAGCCGTCAGGTATGAAGTGACATCTCATTGTGGGTTTGATTTACTTTTTCCTAATGACTAAGATGTTGAGCTTCATTTCATGTGCTTACTGGTCATTTCTGTATCTTCTTTGAAGGAATGTCTATTTAAATCATTTGTCCAGTTTTTGATTGTGTTGTCTGTCTTTTAATTGTTGAGTTGGGAGAGTTCTGTATATATTTTGGTAAAAATCTCTTATCAGATGTATGATTTGCAAATATTTTTCCCAATCCATGTTTTCTTTTCACTTCCTTGATGGCATCTTTTGAAGCTCAAATGTTTTTAATTTTGATGAAGCTCAGTTTATCTACTTAAAAAAAATCATTGCCTAATCCAACGTCACAAAATTTACCCCTTTGCTTCCTTCTTAGACTTTTGTAGTTTTAGCTCTTACATTTGGGTCAGTCAGCCATTTTGAGTTAATTTTTGATTATGGTGCGAGGTAGGGGTCCAGTTTCATTCTTTTGTGTGAATATCCAGTTGCCCAACTACCACTTGTTAAAAAAATTATTTTTCCCCATTGAATGTCTTTTACACCCTGTTTAAAATCAATTGACCATAAATGTAAGGGTTTATTTCTGGGTGCTAAATTCTATTCTATAGATCTATATGTCTAGACGACATAGTGTGTTTATTATAGCTTCAAGGTAAGTTTTACATTGGGAGGCATGAGTCTTCCAAACTTGTTATTCTTTTTCAAGATTGTTTTGCTATTTTGGGCCTCTTGTCTTTCCATATGAAATTTTCAGTTTTTGCAAAGAAGCCAGCTGGGTTTTAATAGGGATAATGTTGAATCTGTGGATCAGTTTGGGTAGTATTGCCATCTTAACAATAGCATGCCTTCCAATTCATGAACCTGGGATGTCTTTTCATTTACATGCGTTAATCCCTTTCAACAGTGTGTTGTGGTTTTTAGAATATCACTTTTGCACTTCTCTTGCTAAATATTCTGAAGTAATTTTTGATGCTATAGTAAATGGAATTGTCTTCTTAATTTCAGTTTCAGATTATTCACTGATAAAGTTAGAAATACAGTTGACTTTTATGTGTATTCTTTTTATTTCTATAGTTATTTCTGTTAGTGATA